TTGGAGAGATTTTCGCTATAGGGCGCGTGCACTTGCCAGACAGACAGAGAGAGACATAGAGGCAGAAAGCAAGAAATCACCCCCCAGGGGGGATGGTCACGCCGCAGTCCCTTCTCCTCCATTCTCCTCTTGGGATCTTGGGCATGCACACACACGCGCCCGGCATGAGTTTTAAGCCACCAGGTCCGGGACGCGAAACGCCATCAACTACGTGGGAGTCCAGCGACATAGCCATTACGCTAACTGCTAGTTCCTGCTAGATGGATTTTTTTAAAGGTCTTTGTATCTGTTTCAACATTTTCCTGCTATTTTCTTCCCTGACACTGTTGCCATGGGCTATTTCAGGTTGTTTTTTGTTGTTGTTGTTGTTTTTCCTTAAGGAGAGACAGAGGGAAAGTGAGAAATCACCCCTGAGGAGATAGCCACATCACAGTCCCACCATTCTCCTCTTGGGATTTTGGCACACACATGTGCTTGTGTTTTTTTTGAGCCGCTAGGTCTGGGACTTCAACTGCATGGTCAGCCATGTGGGATCCAGCCATCGGTTGGCCCTATTCCAGTTTTTGAGTAAGTGGATAAAGCGAAAGACTGCCATTGGAACAGTTGTGGTGCAGTTGATAATTCAAACTCCATACTCCCCAAATCCAATTAATATACAAGTTTCAGATTAGGGGTTTGAAGATCTATGTTCTAGATGATAATATGATGAGCATACTTGTCATTTTTCATATTGAAAATATTAGCTACAATGCAGAATAATACATGACATCTCATCTCTTACTCTCTCCCCCAAGAATCATATTTTAAAAACAAAAACACTTGGCAGCGTGGACCTCTGGATTCTGTGGCATTTTTTCTTAAGATAAGCTAAAGTAAAGCTTGGTTTAACATGCTGGCTGCTCAATATTAGCATTACTTTCTCCACATTAGTCAAAGGGAGGAGGAAATGGTATGTTAGGGCTTAAGATACAGCCATGTGGGAGAGACACAATTCTTCCTAGTACGTGTCACGCTTGGCAAGGACTCTGTGTGAGTGAGGCATTTAATTACCTAGACGGCAACTTACATAGAGAAAAGGCTGTCCCATCCTACATCAGCCCAAGGGCTAGGTACTCAGACAACGGGAATAATCAGACAAGGAGCCTTGCCCCACAGACCTCCAAAGGATCTTTGCCTGTCCCACTGCCAAGGTCCCCATTGAGAAGGAGGAGTCAGTGAGCATCCCCTCCCTGGTCCATCTTGGAACCTTGAGTCTGGGCAATGTCTACAAAAAAAAAAAAAAATCTACAAACACGTGTGTGTGTAAATGGACAGACATCCCATGATTCTAGTGATTTAAAGAAATAGTTCAAAAACGCTCAGGGACCCTTCCTATTTGGAAAGATAGAAGTAAAGTTTCAAGGAATCATGAAGTTCTAAGGAATGGGTTTCTCAGAACCCCCCTTTGTTTCTTTCCTCATCCTTGTTCTCCCTGACAGAAGTGGAATCCAGAGAATGAGTCAACCAAAGAGGTCTCAGAGGCGGGTGGGGCACACATACAGTTTAGAAATTCAGTGTGTGGATATGGGGAGCACAGATTGGCACACCCAGCTGGATTAGACCAGATCAATGGGATTTTCCAGTTTTATGTAAAGGCAAGCCAAGGCACCCAAGTTGCCAGCAGATCTGTACCCTGAAAGAGGAGGAGAACACACGTAACAGATATTTTTCTTCTCTTCTACTTGTGTGAGGCTAGCCTCTTGAGACCTTCCTCCCTCCTCGTCATTGCTGTCAGAGGGTTGATTGTTAATGAATCACCCTATCCTTTAAATCAGTTTCTCTTGAACCAGAAGATTTAAAACCCGTAAGAGTCAACTGATGCTTAAGCATTTATGAAAGTACATATAGGACTAGCCCTGTAGCCTAGTGGGTAAGGGAGCTGGCTTCCACAGGACTGACCACAATCCAGATACTACCCTGGTAGCTTGAAAAACATGCCAGGTGCATGTGTGTGCTATGCCAAAGTCCCAACAGGACGAAGAGATAGAGGCGACCTGATTGTGGCATGACCACACCCTTTGGGAGGGCGTTTTCTCTCTTGCTCTTCCCCTCTCCCTCTCTCTCCTTTTCTCCCTCCTTGGCAAGTGCATGTGCCCTCTGGCAATAAAATGAATAGAAAATAAAGTATTTCAGTCTTTCTTGTCACTATAGTGTGGTTTTTGTGGCAGGATTAATCTTGGTGTTCAAGCATACCTTTCAGGATAGAGTCACAGTCCTTTGTTTGGTGCCTACAACCCCTGATAATCTAGCACTTGCCTGCTGCCTCCACCACTTTTTCCACTCCAACCTTGCTGAGCAAAGTGTAATTCCTGAAATGACACACTTGTACATCTCACTCTTTCACAAACTATTGTTCTCTGTCTCTAAGTGTCCCCTTCTCTCTGCTGTATACCAGCTAACTTCTTGTCAACCGCAGTGCCATCTGAAGCATCACCTTCTCTGGAATGCCTCCCCTGTTCTCTCTCCTGCCCTGTCTCTGAGCTACCACATCTTCCATATCCATCTGTCAAAGAAGTCCTCATGTATCATTCAAAAAATCTACTATTTCAACTACCCCATTCACTCACTCTCCCATTAATACAAGCATTCATTCAATAAATCCTTGTTGGGTGCTGGCATAAGCCAAGTTCAAGGTATTTTTTAGACCAGTTGGAAACATAAATATAAACATTTGAAAAAAAAAAAAAAAACCAGCAGTCACAGTCATAATTTATAGCTGATGCAGTCAATAATAGAGCTTTAGATTTTTGTCAGAGACCTGGTTGGTATTACAACATAATCCAGAGAAAGAAGAAAGTTTTTGCTTGTTAGATATTGGCTATTCTGAAACTAAAAATATAGCTAAGGTTGTTCTAAAGTCAAAGGAAAGAAAAAAAGTCTGGTACCGTTTTCTGAGTGTACCCAACAGAGACCATAGAAGTCTAGTGAAGTGTGACACTGTGGAACCCTCCAGATGCCTTGGGCATTCAGTAAGCTTCGTCATTTAAATTTACCCTCTAAGTGAGCAAGTTATACTCAATTTTCCAAGTATACATGGTAATGAGAATGAGAGGGAAGAAGGAAAGGAAAGTAGAGGGACCAGAAAGGTGGGAGAGGACAAGATTTAGAATCAAACACAGGGGCTGGGTGGTGGTGCAGTGGTGAAACACAATGTTCTGTAAGGCTGATCCACGCAGGACAATTCCAGGCTCTTCTCTGGAGACCTCCCTGAGTACACTGAGCATGTCCATACCCATGATCCCAGGTTGGCTAAGGCTGGGTGTGGGTTACAGCATCGAGACCCTGTTGCAGGTGCACTCCCCCTGCAACTCCCGCCTTCTTCCCCCTGCCCACTCTTTCTCTGTGTCACTCATGGAGGAAATAAGCACGTAAATATAGGTTCAAGCAGAAAGAAGTTACAAAATTACATGGAAACTGACTGGCCAAGTGCTTCACTTAGGGACTATTGACTATGTGCTGCTTTTCTGCAAGGGGCCATCATTAGGGCCATCTTAAACATAGAAGGGCGTGGACACCCAGTTTCATACTGGGCACCCAGCCAGAGGAACATCCGCAAGGTCAACCCCTGGAATTGTAAGTGAGACTGTTATCTAAGGATCCTTTCCACACCCTGATTCCTAAGGAGGGTTCACAGGCTTAAGAACAATGACAGGCCGGTTGCCGGGCCTCATCCTTCCGTCAGCTGTAATGAGCTTCCGTCAGCAGTAATGAGCTTCCATGTTGCCCTCCTGACCTGCTTGTCTTTGTTTCTGCAGAATGGTGCTCAGTATGGAGGGCATTCCAGGGCTGCTCTACCTCCTGCTGCTCTCTGCCACTGGGCAGGTGAGCTCTTACGGTGCTCCCTGGAGACCCACTTGGCCTGCTTACCGCCTCCCTGTCGTCTTGCCCCAGTCTACCCTCAACTTAGCCAAGCCAGACTTTGAGGCTGAAGCCAAATTGGAAGTGTCCTCCTCCTGTGGACCCCAGTGCCATAAGGGAACTCCACTGCCCACATATGAAGAGGTCAAGCAGTACCTGTCTTATGAAACGCTCTATGCCAACGGCAGCCGCACGGAGACACAGGTGGGCATCTACGTCCTCAGCGGTAATGGAGGCGGGGCCCAGCACCAAGATGCAGAGCCTTCGGGAAAGTCTCGGAGGAAGCGGCAGATTTATGGCTACGACAGCAGGTTCAGCATTTTTGGGAAGGACTTCCTGCTTAACTACCCCTTCTCAACCTCTGTGAAGTTATCTACAGGCTGCACTGGCACCCTGGTGGCAGAGAAGCATGTTCTTACAGCTGCCCACTGCATCCACGATGGAAAAACCTATGTGAAAGGAACCCAGAAACTTCGAGTGGGCTTCCTGAAGCCCAAGTTTAAAGATGGTGGTCGGGGGACCAACGAGTCAAACCCAGCCATGCCTGAGAAGATGAAATTTCAGTGGATTCGGGTGAAACGCACCCACGTGCCCAAGGGTTGGATCAAGGGTAATGCCAATGACATTGGCATGGATTATGACTATGCTCTCTTGGAGCTCAAAAAACCTCACAAGAGAAAATTCATGAAGATTGGGGTGAGCCCTCCCGCTAAACAGCTGCCAGGGGGCAGAATCCACTTCTCTGGTTATGACAATGATCGACCAGGCAATTTGGTGTATCGCTTCTGTGACGTCAAAGATGAGACCTACGACCTGCTATACCAGCAGTGTGATGCCCAGCCTGGGGCCAGCGGGTCAGGGGTGTATGTGAGGATGTGGAAGAGACAGCAGCAGAAATGGGAACGAAAAATCATTGGCATCTTTTCAGGGCACCAGTGGGTGGACATGAATGGTACCCCGCAGGATTTTAATGTGGCCGTTAGGATCACCCCTCTCAAATACGCCCAGATTTGCTATTGGATTAAAGGAAACTACCTGGATTGTAGGGAGGGGTGATACCATGTTGCTTCCTAGCAGCTCTTAATGGTCTTTATGCACTTATTTTAGGAGCAGCCAAATTTCATCATTGGCACATGTGTGTATGTATGTTTGTAAAATGTGTCTTTAATTTCTTAAAACTGTAAGATGACTACCTTTATTTGAAAACTGGTTTGCAAATCACATTATATCATTTAAGCAGTGTGAAGGCATACTTTTGCTTATAAATAGCATACTGATGTTTGGGGACATATTTGGCTATTAAGTTAATCTTTCACTTTCTTGAGAATTTCAATTTTTATGCCATCTGAACTTGTTTCAAAGGTTTATATTAAATATGTGGAGTATAGGAGATTTGAATTCTTACGTGTGTGTGTATATGTGTGCTTTATTGTGAGATTCCCCCTATTTTTGATTTAGTTTGGTTTTTTCATTGCCTGATCATCCATGCTTCTCAATGGCAGGGTATTCCACTGCATAGGATTCTTAGGGACTTTAACAACACTTTAAAGAGATAGGGAGTTATAGTATTTTGGATTTGGGGGCATTTGCATAGTAGTCTTTGAACAGTAAGATAGTTTTGTTGTCTGTGTTGATAGACACATGTAATTGTATCTTACAGTAAACCAGTACTCCAAGCCGCGTTCAGTTTTGAGATCGTTTCCGGTTCATCCCAAGGCAGTTGGTGTTCACAGACTTGCTTATGGCTCTGCCAGCTTTGCTGTCCCCATCGGAGCAGGCTAGGCTGTTTATCCCAGTCCTCCCATGCGCAAGATTTTGCTTCCATTTCTAGAAGTAGCTGTTGGTCTGAAGACAATAGTCAGGGCCTAATGAGAGCAGGCTGTAGAGCTTCCCAGCTAAGGCATTGAACACAATCAGAGCTTTTCTCCCCCGGAGTGTAGCACATCTCATGTTTTATCATTTGGATGGAGTAATTTAAAATGAATTAAATTCCAGAGAACAATGGAGGCATTGCTCGGCAGATGTCACAGCAGAATAACCACTTGTTTGGAGCCTGGCACAGTCATACGGCCTTGTCCAAATTTATTCTGCATAGTTTTCAGTGTGCTTCCAGGGAACTGTGCACTTGTTCAGTTCAGAAACTTTACTCACGGTAAAAATACTTGCAAGTCGCTTGAAGAAAAACCAGTATGGACTTTTTTCCTTTCTCAGTGTGCTCCTTTGCTGGACTGCTGTAGCCTACAGGCCCATACAACTCAGTATTATAGTATGAACGAAGATTGGGAGAATGCACAATGGGTCAGAATGTACTCTAATAAATGCCTTTAAGAATGTTTTATCAATGTGAGAATCACAGCATATGAAACTGACTGATTCCACATTCTCATTTAATGGCTCTCAGCTAAGCACTTGCTAGTTGTTACTTACCAGTGGAGGAAAAAAGCAAATGGATGTGCCAGCAGATGACATAGTGGTTATGTCACTGGACTCCCACATGGCTGACCAATTTGAGTCCCGGACCTGGTGGCTTGAAAATCATGCTGGGTGCTAGTGCCTAGGTGCCCAAATCCCAGGAAAAGAATGAAGGGATTGTGGTGTGGCCATCCACCCAGGAGATGATTTCTCATTTCCCTCTCACTGTTTCTCCCCACTGTGCACATGTGTCCTAAGACAAAAACCTCTTAAGAAGAAAAAAAAAAAAAAGCAAATGTACTACAAGACAGACGTTTGCTGTGCTTGCACAGGTAATTGAAACCTGTGTTGTGGCTGTTTGTGCGAATATTCAAACACAGAACTATAGCTTAAGCATCTTCTGGATGACTTTTGCTGTTTCCTGGAGCCTTGATGAGGCACTCAGGAAATAGATAACCATACAGCTGCCTCCAAATCGTATATAATGTGCATAGCAGGGAGATGCAGAGCCTCCAGGAATTTACTAAGTTCTAGTAGTTTGTGCTGGAATCTAGTAGGAATCTTGCCTGAGGAAGACGAGAGGTCTCCATTTCTGTCTGGTATTTGGGGGGTTTTGTTTGGTTTTGCTTTTTCACTTGGTGCAAAAGAAGTTCTCTGAACACTTACACCAAACTGATTAAAAAAAAAAAAAAAACAACTTACATGAAGCACCTTGTGTTTTTGCAGTTATAAGTGACACAAAGTCGCTATCAGTGTTTATTTCACAAGTAGGTGTAATTAAAGAATAGTGCCCACATGCTATATCAGGAGTCTTCAAAAAGTTCACATAAAATGTGTTATAAAAATATTGTACACGGATTCCAATTTCCTTTTTGCACTAAAATAAACTTAGAGTAACGTGTTATAGCTGGTCTGAACTGGTTCTATATAGTCTGAGACACTCGGAAAAATAAAACATCAGTTTGAAAGGAGCCCCTATGAGGGCAATGTGAATTCTGCTAGAATTGAAGTAAGAACAAATACCAAGTTAATAGTTAAGCCAGGATGGAAAAATGATGACAAAATGCTTAAAAAAAAAAAAAAAAGTTTATGGGGAAAATGCCCCCCCCCAAACCAGTAATTTACAAATGGATAACTTGCTTTAAGAAGGGACAAGAAAATGTTGAAGATGATGCCTGCAATGGCAGGCTACCACGTCAATTTGTGGGAGAAAAATTTAATCTTGTTCATGCTCTAATTGAAGAGAAGCAATGATTCACAACAGAAACAAGAGTCAACACATAGACGTCTCTGTTGGTTTAGTTTACACAATTCTGACTACAAAATTAAAGCTGAATAAAATTTTTATGATAATGTGTGAGTGCACAAAAAAGAAATACCCTTGGTTGGGTCCCATCCTAACTATGGGGCCCCACCCCACCCCATCTCTCTAGCTCCTCAGGATCACAGGTACCCACACGCATGCCCAGTATGCTCTCAAGTCAACCCAGCAATGTGAACCCACACTGGCCATCTGGCCCCCAGCTCGGCAGGGTCCTTGTACTACCGCTGCACCACAGCCACTGGGTCAAATTGAGGACTTTCTATATACTTAGTGCCCAAACTGTTGTGCCCAAATCAGCTGGACTAGAGCACAGCTTTCAATGGAAATTTTAAATGTGAGATCAAGATCCTGAAGTACTTCCTTAAAGAACTGTAATACATGACATAAAGGCTTTACCAGTAGAGTCCTAAAGACAAAGCATGACCAAAGCAATGGATACCAAGAGGTGGAAATGATGCAATCAAAGCAAAAGTAGACTCATCAAGGACAAACCTCATGGCAATGGTTTATGGGGATGCTCAAGGCACTTGGCTTGTTGACTTTTTGGAGAGCCAAAGACTATAAAATTTGCTTAGAGGAGTTTTGGAAGAAATTTAGCTGAAGCTTTAGCAGGAAAATGTCCAGAAAATCTTTAGCAGAGAGTCTTTCTCCACCCAGACAAACTCTTTGCTCCTGGTAATTCATCTTATCAAACAAAGGCTTACAAGGGTTTTGATAGGAATTCATTAAGCATTCACCTCTTTGTCCTATTTTGGCTCTTTCTGACTTCTTTTTCTTTCCTAACCTTAAAAAAATCTTTGAAGACACCCATTTTTCTGCAATTAATAATGTGGAACAAAGCTGTAATGACATGGTTGAATTCCCAGGACCCTCAGTTCTTTAGGGATGGACTAGGTATTTGATATCCTTGTTTGCAAGTGTCTTGAGTTTGATAGACCTTATGTTGAGGAATACAGTTTGTATTTTTGTTTTTATCTTTTAATTCTGTTTTCCATAAACTTTTTAAAGTTATTTTGAGATTCCTCATGTACAGCAGTACTCATAGGCCTATAAAAGAAAATTGTAAAATAATTCAACTTGTTTATCTTTTCAATGATAATAGAAGAAAGCATAGTATTAAACTATCATGGCAATTGAGTGAAAAAAGTGCTCAAGATATTATTTATATGACTAATACATTTTTCCTTTTTTGAGAGATTTTTTGCTCTCCAGCGCATGTGCTCACTGGAGAGACAGAGACAGACAAAAAGCTAGAAATCACCCCCAGAGGGCATGGCCAGGGCCATGCTGTAGTCCCTTCTCTTCCTTTTTTTCCTTGGGATTTTAGGTGCACACACACTCGTGCCTGGTGTGAGTTTAAGCCACCAGGTCTGGAACTTGAACTGCAGTTGACTATGTGGGAGTCCAGCGATGTAACCATTATGCCATCTGCTGGTCCCCGTAACTAATACTTTTGATGTGTGCATTATATACATTATAAATACATATTCCTGGTAATATTAGTACCTTTCCTAAATAATGTTCCTTAAACACTTTTCCCTCCAGATTTTCTATCTAAAATAAAAAGGGTACTTAAAAATAGGAGAGAGGTGCCCCTCGATCCCCACTTTATTAGGAATTCACATGCCTATTCACATTTTTTAAAAGAATTATTTTATTTAACTTTATATGTCTTAATTTGACCAGAGAGGGACAGAATGAGAGACAGAGAAAGTGAGAAAGTAAGCTGCCAGGTCTGGGACTCAAACTATGGTCAGCCATGTGGGAGTCCAGTGCCCTTAACCACGCCACCTGCCAGCCCCGCCTACTTAGATATTAAAGCTCTGAAATGTCCTGTTGTAAAGAGACATGTTAATGTTTTAAAATTTACATTTCAATAAACACTTGATCATGGAACCTTATATTCTCATTAATGCCTAGGAGCAATCTAGCATTTTAACACATTTTTGGAGTTGCTGTAACAGCCTTTTGGTAAGGCTATGATGCAGAAAGTGTTCTGAGCTCCTAGTGGCAGCAGGTGCTAGTGCCTTTGGAGTTTAACTAGGTTCCTTATCCATGATTTGGAAATGTTCACAGAGTAGAATGGGAAAGGATAAATTTGAAAATCATTTGTTGCTGAGAATCAGAAGATTGTGGAGGTCTGGCTCTGTGACTTTGTGATCAAGGCAGCAGTTCCTACATGGCTGACCATGCAGTTCAAATCTCAGACCCAGAGGCTTGAGAAACATGCTGGGCATGTGTGTGTGTGCGTGCCCAAAATCCTGAAAGGAGGGAAGGATGGAGGAGAAGGGATTGTGGTATGACCATTCCCCACATCTTTCCCTTCTCTACTTTCTCAGTCTCTCTGTCTCTCTCTGCCAAGTGTATGCACTCTCTAGCCAAAAAAAAAAAATGTTGAATGTGGCCACATTTGGGACACATTTTTTACATACATGTTATTCAGAATTTTGAATTTTTAAAAGGGGTAATGTACAGGCCAGAAGGTGACATAGAGGTTAGGGAGCTGGGGTCCACATGGCCAACTGCATGGTTCACATCCCAGACCCACAGGATTGAAAATCATGCTGGAGACATGTGCATGTTTTCATGCCCCAAATCCTGAGAAGATTGGAGGAGAAGGGATTAGAGTGTGATCATCTCCCATGAGAAGTGATTTGTCTCTCTCTCC